GAAGGAAGAAGGAGGGAGGGAGAAAGGAAGGAATTGGGAAGGAAGGCAGGGAAGGAGGGAGGGTGGAAGGAAGGAAGGAAGGAATTGGGAAGGGAGGGAGGGAGGAAGGGTAGTAGAATAACCGTTGGAAGGGACCTTGGAGGTCTTCTAGTCCAACCCCTTGCTCAAGCAGAAGACCCTATCCCATTTCCGGCAAAACAATGTCCAATATCTTCTTTAAAAAAACCAAGGAAGGAAGGAAGGAAGGAAGGAAGGAAGGAAGGAAGGAAGGAAGGAAGGAAGGAAGGAAGGAAAAAAGAATAACAGAATGACATCGTTGGAAGGGACCTTGGAGGTCTTCTAGTCCAACCCCCTGCTTGAGCAGGGGACCCTCTACCATTTCAGACAGTTTCTCCTTAAAACCCTCCAGTGATGGAAAACCCCAAATTCCTAGGAGGCAAGTCATTGTATCATTCTGGCCTACAAAGAAATCTTCCCCGTGGAAATCGAATTGACTACCAAAAACACCTCGTCCTCAACTTATAACAATTCATTTAGTAGCCATTTGGAGTTACAACGGCACTGGAAAAAAAAACTGACTTATCCCCAGTTTTCACACTTCGGACCGTTGCAGCACGCCCACAGACACGTGGTCAAAATTCAGACGGTTGGTAACTGGCTGGCGCACCCTCCGTCCTTTGACCAAATTGGCCCGGCCCTCACCTGTACTATCAAGCCCATGGTCCTCTGGCCCGGCCAGGCTCTCGCTGCTGCTGCCCGCTCCCTCCGCCATGGGGCGTGGCTGCTCTCTGCGAAGTTTCATCAGCCTCCTTATCTTGCCAGCAATCCAGTTACTCTTCCTGGCCCAGCAGAAGAAGAGGAGACAAGGGCAAAAAAAAGAGAAAGAAATTATAAACCTTTTTTCCAAAGAAGCAGAACTCTACGAGCGCATCCACACGTGTTGTCGTGTACCTTGGTCCGGGATGGACTTGTTATTTTTAACCGTTTCCTAAGCTAGGTGACGCTCCTGGGCTTCCTCTCTCTCTCTCTCTCTCTCCCCCGACTAGATTTAAACCTGGTTTTGGGATCTGCAAAGAATGAGCACCGTACTTCTTTGCATGTGCGAAGTTGTGTGTATCACACTTACTTGCCCCGGGGAATGGCGGGTTCCAGCACCCGGTATTGGTCCATAATTTTCTCCACCAGTTTCTGTTTCTCTCGACGCAATTCGCCTAATTTATCGCTGTGGAGGAAAGAACCGGGGGGGGGGGAGGTTATAATCTGGAGCAGGCAGTTAAAAAAAGTCCCACCTACCCCCAGATGCCAGATTGGAATCAATCAATATCTATCTATCTATCTATCTATCTATCTATCTATCTATCTATCTATCTATCTATCTATCTATCTATCATCTATCTATCTATCTATCTATCTATCTATCTATCTATTTCTGTCTATCTATCTATCTATCTCTATCTATCTATCTATCTATCTATCTATCTATCTATCTATCTATCTATCTATCTATCTGTGTCTATCTCTATCTAGCTATCAATCTCTATCTCTATATCTATCTATATATCTGTCTATCTGTCTATCTATCTATCTATCTATCTATCTATCTATCTATCTATCTATCTATCTATCTATCTATCTATCTCTATATTTATCTCTATGTATCTATCTATCAATCTATATCTATATATTTATCTCTATGTATATCTATCTCTATCAATCTATGTCTGTCTGTCTGTCTGTCTGTCTGTCTGTCTGTCTGTCTGTCTGTCTGTCTATCTATCTAGTTGAATTGTTGCTTTTTTGCTTAAGCGACGGCCATTTTCGGCCACTCACTGGTACTGACGCTGCTCCTCCTGAAATTGTTCTCGGTTCTCCATGCTGCGTTCCAACAGCTGTCTGTTCTCCCTGCTCAACAGCTGGATCTCCTGAAGCAGATGCCGGTTCTCTTCCTCCTGTTTGCCCTTCAACTGGACGAGCAGCTGCCGAGAAGAACAGAGATGCCGTCACTGAAAGGACCATCAGCAAGGCCTCTTGGATATCCAGGTGAAGGCAAACTCACAGTGTGTGTGTGTGTGTGTGTGTGTGTGTGTGTGTGTGTGTGTCTTACCTCACATTGGGTGCTCAGGCGCCCCAAGGCCGTGTCCAGCTGCTGGTTCTGCTCTTTCAAGGCAGCGTTTTCAGCTTCCAGCTTTGCCTGTTCCAGTTGCAAGCCGGTCAACCGGTTCTGCATTCCTTGAAGCTCACCCTGGAGGTCATCCTGGGCCCGTTCGGCCTGGACCAACGCTTGTTTGACCCTGCAGGATTTGGGAAGGGCCGTCCTGTTACGAAAGGCGTCCTCCCCTCCTTTGACGGCTGCTCCTACCTCCCAGCTTGAATAAATCTTAATTACCTCAGTATAATAATATGAAGAAGAAAAGAAAGGGAGGACCAGTGGTGATAGGCGCCTTGGGTGCCACCCCAAAACATCTGGAGCAGCCCTTGAACTCTGTCGGCATTGACGCAATCCCCATCGGTCAACTGCAAAAGGCAGCTTGACTGGGAACAGCTGAAATCCTACCAGACCAAGGACCTGGGACATCTGCCTGTCCCAGGTCCTTGGGAAGGACTCAGAAGTGGACAAAAGGGGGCCCAATCCAGGTCTAAACATCTGTCTAACTGTGTGTGACAAACCATAACAATTAGCAATTGAACGCTGTCGGCATTGACACAATGCCCATCGGTCAATTGCAAAAGGCAGCTTGATTCGAAGTAGCTGACATCCTGCGGACGAGACTTTTAACAGCCAGTTCTTTCAGTCTCGTCGTGACTTCCGATGGTCACTAAACAAATCGTTCTAAGTTGAAGACTGCCTTATTTATCGTCAAATGCACAGGAAGCCCAGGGTTCACGTCACCATTGAAGGATTTACAAACGGCTTGATAAGTCTGTTGGCTTCTCAATTCCCCCAGCCTTACCGCTCATGTTCTTCTTTTAAGTTGGCGTGTTGCTCAGCCAAATCCTGGTGCTGTCGCTTGGCTACTTCGAGCCGTTCCTTCTGGGCCTGCAGTGCCACCTCTTGTAGCTCCAGGCTGCTCTTCTGCCCCAAGAGTTGGTCGCACCTGCGGTCATAATTCAAGGACTCCCCATCAGGGCTTAATTCAACGGCGAGCCACCCACGATGGGCAAGCGCGTCCTAGGTGCAGATTTCCCACAATCCCCCTACTGTGGCGGCACCTGCCCTCCAGTTCCCGCTGCTCCTTCTCCAGGCTGCGCAGCGCTGCTTTGAGGCCGGCTTGCTCGCTTAGCGTCCTCTCCAGCTCGTCGCCCTGCTGTCGATGTAGCAGCGCCAAGTGGTCGTGATCCAGGCAGAGGTGCTCGTAGCGTCTCCGCCAGGCCTCCGCCTCCAGCCGGACCGTCTGAACTTCAGCCTCGTGGCGGCCCTGCCTCTGCCGGACCTCGGACAGCTGCCTTGCCAGGAGAGAGCGCTGGGGACGTAGAGAGGCAGGCAGGTGAGAAAAGTCCAGATTAAGGTGGAAGATCCCAGCGCAGAGGGGAGGAGAGGACAGCAGCCCCAGTGCAGGCGATTACAATTGGGAGCAGAATTTCCGTCACTAAGTAAGGCGGTTGTAACAGGGAGAAGAAGGACAGCGTATGAATTTAATTATCTATCTATCTATCTATCTATCTATCTATCTATCTATCTATCTATCTATCTATCTATCTATCATCTCTCTCTTATCTATCTATATCCATCTATCTATCTCTATCATCTCTTTATATATCTGTCTATCTGTTTATTTATTCTTTCTTCCCCCTATTTTCCCTACAACAACCCTTTGAGGTGGGTTCTATCTATTGCATCTATCTGTTCATCCATCCATTCATCATATCTATCTATCTGTCTGTCTGTCTATCTATCATTCATATCTATCTATCTATCTATCTATCTATCTATCTATCTATCTATCTATCTATCTATCTATATCTATCATCTCTGTCTGTCTGTCTGTCTGTCTGTCTGTCTGTCTATCTATCTATCTATCTCATTCATATCTATCTCTGTCTGTCTGTCTCTATCTCTCTATCTGTCTGTCTATCTATCTATCTATCTATCTATCTATCTATCTATCTATCTATCTATCTATCTATCTATCTCTCATTCATATCTATCTGTCTGTCTGTCTGTCTGTCTGTCTGTATCTATCTATCTATCTATCTATCTATCTATCTATCTATCTATCTATCTATCTATCTATCATATTTATCTATCATTCATATCTTTCTTTCTTTCTATATCATTCATATCTATCTATATCATTCATATCTATATCTACCTACCTACCTACCTACCTACCTATCTATCTATCTATCTATCTATCTATCTATCTATCATCTATCATTTTTATAAAACGTATAGGCCACCCATCTTACCTCAAGCTAACTCTGGGCTGAGTTTATTTATAAACAAATAAACAAACAAATTTATTTAAAATGTATTGACTTATCTATAAAATTTACGTGCTGCCCATCTCGCTGTTAGAACCGCCTGGCTTAGCGAGGGAAATTTGGCTCCCCAAAGCGGCCATAAGCCAAGGGCCACCCCGAATTTATTTACAAGGTTCGAGTCACACCCAATTTGGCGATCTCTTCGTGGCCCCGGTTGTTAAGTGGATCCTGCCGGCCCCTCCCATTGGCTTCGCTCGTCTGAACCTCACCTGCGACGTGCGGTTCCCAGGTTGTCGGTGCCCGTCTCCTTCCTTGCCTTCTGCCTTTGGCCGTGCCAGGCCCAGCAGCACCGTCTCCAGGCTGCTGGCCAGGGACTCCAGTTGGGTCAGGCGCCCGGTGATCGCCGAATCCTCACCTTGGAGGGCTGTATCCTGGCAGGAAAAACAACCCAGCGGGCCAAATTTGGAAAAGCTGTCCTAACGTTTAGAGAAAGGGATCTTACAGGCAACACAGGCAGTCCTCCACTTACGACGGTTCGTTTAGTGACCGTTTCAAGTTACAAAAGCACTGAAAAAAAAGGGACTCGGGGCCGTTTTTCACACTTAAAACGGGCCGTTGCAGCATGCCCCACGATCCCGCGATTGAGACGGGTCTCACCTGAGGCTGAACCGGCGGTTCCTTGGGGAGGTGCAGTTCCTCGAACCGCCCAATGGGGGCGCTCTCGGGCTGGCCTTTGGGACTGTTCCTGGTTTTTGGGTGGCTGCCAAGACAGAGGAAGCCATCAGCAGGGAATAGGGCCAGGTGTTTGCCCTCCCCCCCGAATCTCTGGGTTGGGGGTCAGCTCCTTCCTTCCTTCCTCTCTGTTCTCTCTCTCTCTCTCTTTTTTCTTTTTCTTTCTGTCTTTTTCTTTCTACCTTTCCTTTCCCTCTGTCTTTTCCTTCCTTCCTTCCTTCCTTCGTGTTCTCTCTCTGTCCTTCTTCTCTATTCTCTCTCTCTCTCTCTTTCTTTTTTCTTTTTATACCTTTCCTTTCCCTCTGTCTTTTCCTCCCTCCCTTCCTTCCTTCCTTCCTCTCTGTTCTCTCTCTCTTTCTATTTCTTTCTACCTTTCCTTTTCCTCCCTCCCTCCCTCCCTCCCTCCCTCCCTTCCTCTTTCTTTCTTTCTTTCTTTCTTTCTTTCTTTCTTTCTTTCTTTCTTTCTTTCTTTCTTTTTCTTTTCTTTCTACCTTTCCTTTCCCTCTGTCTTTCCCTCCCTCCCTCCCTCTGATATAGCTGCCCATTTTATATGCCAGGACCCTCAGCAGCTCACAGAAGAACAACACAACCACCCCCAAGCCATAAAATCAGAACAAAAAATCCCAGTCCCTGTGAAGTTTCCCTGGCTCCTAGTCACACACACACACACAAAACACACCCCCCAGCAACTTGCAAAACCCCTCCTGGGCCGGGCCCAGCCTGACCTGCTCCCGGTCTCCGGCTGAGGATTTTGCTGCTCCTTCCAGAGCTGCTCCTGGAGCTCGTCCGGATTCTCTCTGGAGGGCCCGGCCTTTTCTCTCGCCAACTCCTGCAGCACAAATCAGACATCCTGTGAGTGAAGGGCCTTGTCCTTCCTTTATCCCCCCCCCTGCAACTCCAGTGCAGGCCGTCCTCGACTTACAACAGTTGGTTTAGTGACCGTTCAAAGTTACAACGGCACTGAAAACGAATGAGTTACGGCCCTTTTTTTCACCGTTACCGCCGTTGGTCACGTGATCAAAATTTGGCGGCTTGGCAACCGACTCACATTTGTGACAGCCGCAGTCACGTGACATATATTCATGGCTTTGAGTTGACTGCAGACAACTAATAATAATAATAATAATAATAATAATAATAATAATAATAATAATAATAATACAGGCTAAATGCGACACTGGTTCTTCCAACCCAATTAAATATTAGGAGTCATCTTTGGCTGTCCTGTAGCACCCCCTGGTGGATGAAGCTGAAATATACTGATAGACCCCCCCCCCCTCTTAACGACCGTAATTGGGACGGGCAGCACTGCCATTAAGCGAAGCTTATTTTTCTGCAATCTCTTCCGCTCCAATCTCTCTGCTCTGTGAGGTGTGTTTGTGTGTTTGTGTGTGTGAGGGGGGAAGTCAGTGATTTCTGTCTCTCCTTTGCCTGACTCCTCTCCCCCTGGCAGTACGGAGAGATCGGAGAGGAAGGGACTGCAAGAGAATAAGCTATTTGTTCCCACGCCTCTAGAGCAATGCCCGTTGCACCCGCAGTGGGAAAGATTCATTGCTGCAAACAGGTCAAAACTTGAGTGATCACAATTTCTCCTCTTTATACACACACGGACACACACACTCCCCTACACGCACATACGATGGGAAATAGCTCATTTGCCACTCTCACTTTCTCTTGCTTTTTTCTCTTTCCTCCACTTCCCTTTTTCCTTTAATGCTGACTCCGATGAGATTGTTAGGGGAGGAGAGGGGAAAAAAAAATGCTACAGGAAAACTCTGGGCGCTTTTACGGCTGAACAACTGGCACCCCCCCAAAAAATTCCAGCTGTTGACCTCAGGACTTTTCTGTTTATATCCCAGTACAGGTAGGTCTCAACTTACAACCGTGGTTTTTTTCACGCTTACAACCGTTAACCGCATCCCCACGATCACGTGCTCAAAATTCAGACTGACTCGTGTTTGTGACAGTTGCCGTGCTCCCCCGGGGGTCCCCTGATCCCCTTTTGCGACCTTCCAACAAGTCAATGGGGAAGCCTTAACAATCCTGTTACTTAACAACTGTGGCGATTCATTGAACAACTGTAAAAGGGGGCAAAATTCACCGAATACCGGTCTTGTTTAGCAACAGAAACGGGCTCGGTGGCGGTTGTAAGTCGAGGACTACGTCCCGTCCCAGTTACCTGTTCCAGCATGGCGGCGGCTTTCTCCTGGTGTTCCAGTCGCTTTCTCAAGCTCGCGTTCTCCTGTTCCAGCTCGCCAAGACTTTGGAGAACTTCTTGTAGGCTGTTGAGTTCCGCTGCCTGCTGGCGAGTTTGAGCCTCCAGGAGGGCCAGGTGGCGGCCCTGCTCCGCCAGCGCCTCCTCCTGTGCCTGGGTTTTGGCCTTCAGCCGCCAACTCTCCTTGTCCCCTTGTCGCCGGCAGCTCTCCGCTTGGCCCAGCGCCTCTTCCAAAGCCTCTTTCTCAGCCCCCAGCTGGGCCAAGGAGACCCTGTGGTGCTCTAAGCTCCGTTGCAGGTTCTGGAGCTCCTGCTGAGCTTCCCCCAACTCTTCCTCTTTCTGTTGGAGTTTCTGGGCTAGCTGGGTGCTTCGAAGATGTGCCTTGCGAAGACTTTGCTGCGCCTGGCTGAGGTTGACCTCGGCCCGGGTGGCCGCGTCTTGCAACACCTGGGATCCGGCTTTTAAAGTCTCCTTCTCACGCTCCAGAGCCTGGATCTCTTCAACCAGACGCTCCGCCTCCGAGTGCCACCGGTCGCACTCCTCCTGGGCTTCGGCGTAGGCTTCTTGAACGCGCCTCAGTTTCTCCTGGAGGCTCGCCGCCTGTCCGGATTCGGCCTCCCGCTTCTGCTCAGCCTCCCGCAGTTGAGTCTGCGCTCTGGATAAGGCGGCCTTGATTTCAGCGAGCGAAGTCTCGGATTCCGGCTTCGGCGCCTGGCCTTCCGCTGTTTTGCTCTTTCGATGCGTCAAAATCCCTGGCTTGCGTTCTTGCACGTCTGTCAGGTTCTCCTCTTCAGCCTGGCTGGGCCGCTGTTCTGGCTAAGTGGGAGAAAAATGAGAGTTGGAAGTTTGCATACGAAGGGCTGCTTATACGTTGCCCCCAAAAGATCATGCATTTTCAAAAAAAAGACTGCAAAGAGAAGCAGCTGGCCTTCAGAAATGGTGGGTGCTCCCTTACTGGAGGTTTTTAAGAAGAGGCTAGACAGTCACTTATCTGAAATGGTATAGGTTGGGAAGGGGGTTGGACTAGATGACCTCCAAGGTACCATTCTATTCTATTCTATTCTATTCTATTCTATTCTATTCTATTCTATT